GGCAATGAGATGATATACGATGGAATGAATGTAAAACTAAATTTCTCTCATGTAAACAACCATATAATTCACAATAAAACATTAAAAAAGCAAAAACATAACTTTGAAGACTAAGGTGTACCTGACTCAAATTCTGGTATTTTTCAGTTAGTTCATATATATATATATGAGAGCTGGACACAATGAATAAGGAAGACCATAGAAAAATTGAAGCATTTGGCAAATAATGTTGAATATAACAAAGACTCCAAGAACAACACAAAAATCTGTCTTGGAACAAGTATAGGCAGAATGTTCCTTAGAAGGGAAGATGGCAAGGTTTCATCTCACATACTTTAGACATGTTAACAGGAGGAACCCCTCCTTGGAGAAGGACATCATTGCTTGGTAAAGTAGAGGGTCAGCGAAAAAGAGGAAGTCCTTCAATGTAAGGGACTGATGCAGTGGCTACAACAATGGGCTCAAACCCAGTCACGACTGTGAGGATAGAGCAGGACTGGGCAGTGTTTTGTTCTGTTGTACACAGGGTCACTGAGTCAGAACAAATCTGACATCACCTAACAACAACAGTAAACATTATTGGAAAATTACTATTAGTAAAGCAAAAAATATAGATTTAGAGCTCATATGCTATGCTGTGATGGGTTTCAAATGAATCAAAAACTTTAACATTTTTAAACCTAGAAAAGGAAGGTAACGAGTTTAAAGCAAGAAATGACAAGAACTTGTATGACAACTGAATAGCATCAAAACCAAGGTGAATATGGATTTACAAATGAGTAAAGCTCTAATAAAGAGTTAAGCATGCACTTACTTGCCACAGCACATGTGATGCTTGTCCGGCATTCCCAGGCCCAGGACAAGGATGCAATACTTTTGCGCCAAGTATTTCTGTGCTGCATCTAACTTATTTAAAACAAATTCCATCTCTTTCTTCTCTACAAGACCTCTGAAAAGAAAAATAACCATCTGGGTTAATTCTGGAAATATCAATTAATGAAAAGTCTGAATTGAAAGAAGTACAAGGGAGTCAACATATTTCACTTGTTTATTTTATTTGAGCTATGGCATAGGGAGGTCCTTCCTCAAAGTGCCCTGACAAGCTTTGGTGCTATGGGTTAGTCTCTGACCAAGAGACAGAAGTTCCAAACCACCAGCTGTTCTGTGGAAAAAAGGTGAGATTATATGTGGGAGAAAGATGAGGTTATGTGTTCCTGCAAAGATTTGGTCTATGCATCCTCAGTTTTATGTACAGGTTGTTGTTGTTGTTAAGTGCCTTCGAGTTGGTTCTGACCCCTAGCAATCCTGTATAGAGGAGCAGGTGGTGAGCTTGAACCACCAACCTTGCAGTTCAAATGGCTTTGAAGTCTGGTGCATTGACCCACAGCGCCACACCAGGACTCTTAAGTACAGGTTGTTGTTGTTGTTAAGTGCCATCAAGTCAGTTCCGACCCATAGCAACCCTGAACAGGGCCAAGGCTGGAAATCTTTACAGGAGCAAAAAGTCTCATCTTTCTCCCATGGAGCGGCTGGTAGTTTCGAACTGCTGACCTTGAGGTTCGCAGCCCGATTCGTAACCACTACGCTACCAGAGTAGTACTAGTTTATATAGAATAGTCCTGGCCTGGCGCTGTAGGATAAGCACTAGACCACAAGGTCAGTTTGAACAGAAAAGGTCAGCGGTTCAAACTCACCAGCCGCTCCTTGGAAACTCCATGCAGGGTCTCTGTGAGTCAGAACTCACTAGATGCACTCAACAGCAACAGCAGGTCAACTAACAAATGATCTGTAGAGATTGCTGAGGCAGTTAGCAGCCCATTTCCCTGCTATTTTGGTAAAACAACTACACAGATTCAATCTTCCATAGGTTCTTAACATTACTACTGAGTTTGGAGGCTTTATGTTTGAATTTGTATGAGTTTAACTCTAAGTATCTGCTAAGGAGACATTTGGGTACTACAACCTTGGAACCTTTTACATCAATTAATTTTACATTTGGGTACTACAATCTTTTACATCAATTAATTTTACAATTAATTTTACATTAATATTACATCAAGTAATATTACTTCCCAGAGAATACGTTTCCAGTTGAATTGCAAATGAACTTTTAAACAGGCAACCAGTTCTTAGGTTATGGCATGTCTACAGCACAATTTTAGAAGTTTCCCAATATATATAATATGAAACAATATTGATGACAAAACATTCCAATGTGTTGTTACTGAAACACAAAGTATCACTATTTTTTTTCTCTTCCTTTTAATTGCCAGAAAGATCTAAAGCAACTGAAATGCACTCTGAACCAAAGTGACAATCTTACTCACACATGGCATGATACTATACATAGAAACCTCGAGAGATGTCACCAAAAATAGCTACTGGAACTAATAGAAGGACTCAGCATTGTGGCAGAGTATAAGATACACACACAAAACTCAGTCAGGGTTTCTCTAGACTAACAAGGACTCTGAAATGTAAATCAAGAAACCAACACCATTTACAATAATAGTCTCCAACAAGATAAAATACCTAGGAATAAATCTAACCAGGGAAATAAAACACTTAATGAAAACTACAAAACATCACTGCAAGAAACTCGAAGAGATCTACATAAATGAGAAAACATTCCACGCTCATGAATTGGATGACTTTAATATTGTGAAAATTTCGATACTACCAAAAGTCATCTACGGATATAATGCAATCTCGATATAAATTCCAACAAAATTCATTACTGACGTGAAAAAATTAATCTCCAAGTTTATTTGGAAAGGAAAGAGGCCCCAAGCAGCTAAGGCAATGCTGACAAAGAAAAACAGGGTGGGAGATCTCCTGATTCCTGATCTCAAAACATACTATTCAGAGACAGTAATGAAAACAGCCTGGTACTGGGTTAATGACAGACACATAGACCAATGGAATACAACTGAGAACCCCAAAGTAAATCTATCTAACTGACCTTCAACATAGGATCAAAGCCCATCCAATGGGGAAGAAGCAGTCTCTTTAACAAATGGTGCTGGCAAATTTGAATATTCATTTGTAGAAAAATAAAGCATGATCCATACCTCACACCACACCCAAAAACTAATTCAATTACAGTGTGAACTACTGACACTGAATTGTGAACTTAAAGATAGTGTAAATAATTAGATCTCACATTGTTGTTGTTGTTGTTGTTAAGTCTCTCATGGTAGGAACTAAATGGCACCACATATTCAACAACAATTTGGGGGTAACTGGTGTGGCGCTGTGGGTTAATGAGTCAGACTGCAAAGCCGTCTGAACTGCAAGGTCGGTGGTTCAAGCTCACCAGCTGCTCCTCAGAAACCCTATATAAGGTCACTATGGGTCGCAATCAACTCGATGGCCCTTAACAACAACCATATATTAAATGGCAAATGAAGCACGAATCAGAATATTGTGACTTATAAAGTCATATGGCACTGGTTGGTTGACTGTGGAGTCTCTAGAAATGAAATGATGAGAAGCCTACTAGATTCTTACTTGATCTGTATTAATGGGAGAGTTCTAGGTAAGGTGAATATAAGCCTAATTTTATTATCCAAAAAAGTGTCATGGTACCTCAATCTGTTCCCAGACTTGAACCAATTTATACACCGACAAACTCTAATGTAGGATATTGCCAAAGTTGTATACTACTAATCTTTATCAAAACAGTCCAATTTTTTTTCTGTAGGTCTTTGTTTCAATAAAAATCTTCTCTCCTATCAAAAAAAAAAAAAAAAAAATTCAAAAATGATCAAAGACCTAAGAATTAATGCTATACTATCTTCCAATAAGATAATACAGGAACAAAGCTAGGGGATCTAATTTTCAACAAAAATAGCCTACTGAACACAACTTATAATGCAAGAACAACAAAAGATAATTGAGATAACTGGAACCTCCTAAAAATCAAATACTCATGCTAATCAAAAGACTTTACCCAAAGAATAAAAAGAACTTACAGACTGGGAAAAAATCTTTGGCAACAACCTATTAGACAAGGGTCTAACCTCTAAAATACATAAAAACATCAATATCTCAACAACAAGAAGATAAACAACCCAATCTAGAAATGGGCAAAAGCTATGAATAGATATTTCACCAAAGAGGACATTCTGGTGGTCAACAAATACATGAAAAGATGTTCATGATCACTAGCCATTAGAGAGGAGCAAATCAAAACTACAGTGAGATACTATCTCTCCCCTGCAAAAAAATAGCATTTTTTTTTGTTGTTGTTGTTAATCAGAAAACAAAAGCAGTGGTGAGGCTATGGGGAGATGGGAACTCATGTATGCACTTGATGGAACTGTGAAATGGTGCAACTGTTATTGAAAATGGTATGACACTTCCTCAAAAAGCTAGAAATAAAAGTATGTTATGATCCAGCAATCCCACTAGTAGGTACATATACCAGAGATACAAAGCAGTGACACCTGTACACCCATTCACCGCAGTCCTGGTGTGGCTCTGTAGGATAAGCAAGCACTGGACCGCAAAGTTGGTCTGAACCAAAAAGGTGAGCAGTTCAAGCTCACCAGCCACTCCTCAGAAATCCTATACAGAGTCGCTATGAGTCAGAATTGACTTGACAGCACTTAACAGCAACAACAGCAAAAGATAGAAACAAATTACATATATATCATGCAGTGGACCAATGGATAAACTGTGACACATTCATACAATACAACACTTCTTGTTGTTGTTATGTGCCGTGGAGTTGGTTCCGACTCATAGCGACCCTGTACAGGGTTTCCGAGGCTGTAAATCTTTACGGGAGCAGAAAGCCTCATCTTTCTCCCGCAGAACAGCTGGTAGTTTTGAACTGCTGACCCTGAGGTTAGCAGCCTGTTTCTTAACCACTACGCTACCAGAGCACAGTGGAACACTATATAAATATAAATATAAACAGGAGTCCACAAAGCATGTTACTATAACATGGATGAAGCTATAGACATCATGACAAGTGAAATAAGTCAATCACAAACGGACAAATATTGTATGGCCCCCCTATTATAAAAAATTAGGAATAGATATATACATAACGAAACACTCCTGGACCATTACTGGAGATGGGAAGGTATGAGAGCACGAATCACTTCCTACGTAGTAAAAAAACCAAACTCACTGCCAAGTCAATTCTGACTCTCACCTTTCTCCCACAGATTGGTTGTTGGGTTTGAACTACCAACCTTTAAGTTAGCAGTCCAGTGCTAACAGTGTTGGTGGTTATGTGCCGTGGAGTCGGTTCTGACTCATAGTGACCCTGTACAGGACATATAGGAGCTCTGGTAGCGTAGTGGTTAAGAATCGGGCTGCGAACCTTAAGGTCAGCTGTTCGAAACTACCAGCCGCTCCGCGGGAGAAAGATGAGGCTTTCTACTCCCATAAGGATTAACACCCTAGGAAACCCTGTACAGGGTCACTATGGGTCGGAACCGACTCAACGGCACTTAACAACAACACAGAACATATGAGGCTATAAATCATTAGCAGAGCAGAAAGCCTCATCTTTCTCCCACAGAGTAACTGGTAGATTCAAACTGTTGACCTTATGGTTAGCACCCCAACTCATAGCCCACTATGCTACCAGAGCTCCTATGCCATTTGTCATTTGGGGTGATGGTTATAACAAGTGCTATTATGAGTAGGAGTGGAACACTATCTGACACAGTGCCAGAAGATGAGTCCCTCACATTACAAGGAACTCAAAATACAAGTGGGAAAGAGCCATTTTGTAAAAAGTAGAGTTGATTTTGATGACAGTAATATAGTAAAGCTTTCAGTATCTTCATTTGCTGATGGGGCACAACTCAAAATGAGGAAAAACGCTGCAAACATCTATTAATAACTGAAACATGGAATACTCAAAATATGAATCTAGGAAAACTGGAAGTTGTCAAAAATGAAATGGAACATATAAAGTTTGATACCCTA